TTGTCCGATATGAAGTGATGACACGCCGGGTAGATTGACAGGAACCGTCGAATTGCGAGATGAGTCTGTGGGGTCGATAGCGAAGGGACAAGCTCAAGGTGGATTCCGCGCGTTGCCGTACACGTGAACAACGCCACATACGATTTGAAGGTTTCCGCTCTCTGTTTTGTATAGAACGGTCCGCAGAAGTCGACGCCAGCGACTGCGAACGGCGCCTGCAAGGTCGACCGGGACTCGGGTGATGGTGCCTCGATCTGCTCGGCCGATCCACCGTGACGTTTGCGACACACGACGCACTGACGGAGCACAGCCCTTATGACTTGACGGCCGCGGGTGATCCAGAACTTTCTGCGGAGGATATTGAGGATCGTGTTCACGCCAAAATGGGCGTTGATACGGTGAGCGTCAACGACGAGCAATTTCGCCAGTCGCGACTCTCCTGGAACGACGACGGGGTTTCTTTCGTCGTAAGTGAGGTGGGGAGCAGCTCTGAGACGCGTTTCGATTCGAAGAAGCCCATCGTCGCCAATGAAGAGCTTGTACGCTGCCAGCTTTGAGCCGCTGGGGACCTTCTCGCCGACTCGGACCGATGAGATCTCCTGGCAGAGAAACCGCTCCTGACACCACCGGATGAGGATGGACTCGGCGTGACGATAAAGTCCTCTCCGTGTGGGGACTGGTCTTCGACGAGCGATATGTGCGAAACGCAGCACGTGCGCGAGCACTCGAGTCGCTCGACAGGCCGTGCTGAATCGCTCGATCTTCAACACCGGATCCATTGTGGTGACAACCGCGAGCACGCCTCGCATCTCTTTACTAACAGGGTCTAGGGCTACGGACTCGCGTTGTGGTTGAGAAAGGGGCCTTCGCTCCCTCGGCAGACGTAGCCAGCTGGGGCCGTACCACCACTCCTGGTCTTGAATAAGTGTAGCGGCCGAAACTAGTCGAGTCGCCAGGTCTGAGATGTTGAAGTTGCCCTTCAGATGGAAACCAATCCTCTGGTCGGGAGTCCGCCTGGATCTCACGTCACCCTGTTGACTGACGAATTGTTTCCAGCATCCGGGATTCGAAGATGTGGCCCAGTGATAGGCAATCGTCGAATCGGTGTAAAACAGGGCTCGTTCGAATTTGACGTTCATTCTTTCAGTCAGAAACCTTTTCAGGCGGACGGCGATCAGAGCCGCAAGGAGCTCGAGCCGAGGCAAGGATGGTGAGTCACGTGGAGCCAGTCTTGATTTTGTCATCACGAGAGCGAAGTCGGATGGTCCATCCGAGTATTGTATTTCGATGTAGGATGCGCAGGAATACGCCGTCTGCGAGGCATCTCCGAACGAATGCAGCAGGTAGGCGCTCGGCGTTCTCGATATGTTGCTGTACCGTCGCCGCAGTTTGATCTCGCTGAGGGATCCGACCTCTGACATCCACGCGCGGAACTCCTCACGGATTCTGTCCGGAATCGTGTCGTTCCACTTGAGGTCGATGGCCCAAAGTTGCTGGATGATCATTTTCGCACGGAGGGTGAACGGGGTGAGCCAACCCAAAGGGTCGAATATAGATGCCACCAAGCTCAGTACTCGACGTTTTGTCAGAGCGCTTTTCGAGTTCCAGACCGTCAAACGAGGCAGGTGTCGTAAACAATAAGACATCCTGTGACGGGCACCAGGAGATGCCTAGAACTTTCAAGAACCCCGACGCTGTCGAATCGAATTCGTCTGGTTTGACGCCATTGCTGAGTAAGTGGTCGTCCACCTCCTTCGAATTTGTCTTCCACTTCGCGAGATTCATTCCCGCTGACTTGAGTGTTCGACGGATGTTATCGGTGAACTGAATCGCGTTGCGGGTCTTCGAAGCTTTGCAAGAAATCATCCGCGTATAGACATTTCGAGAGATCCTGCGACGCGGGGTCGGCTCCCTGTAAGTGATGCCGGATCGTCGCGGCCAGAAGAAAACCGGATGACGCCGCTCCCCACGTAACTCGCTGCATCTGGTACGCCCGGACGGAGTCGGCGTCGGGTCCCTTCCACAGGAATCGAAACAGCGGCCGATCTGCCGGTGCGACGGCGATTCTCATGTAGGCCTTGCTCACGTCGGCCGACACCGCCACGGAGTGCAGTCGGAAATTCAGAAGAAGCGACACCAAGTCGGGGTTCAGGTTCGGACCCGGTAAGAGATGATCATTGAGGGACGAGGCGCCTTTCTGCTTTGCGGAGCAATCAAACACGATTCTCCATTTTTCCGCCTTTTCCGACGTCACGACAACCTCGTGATGAGGCATGTAGTATGAACCATCGACTTCCGAACGGGAACCAGGCGAGAAGTCGCGAACTTCTACAGCGAAGCCGTCGTCGATGAACTTCATCACCTCCGCGTGATAGCGTCGATATTTCATGGGATATTGCCTGAGCTGCGATAATTTTCGCTCGAGACGTTGGGAAGCGACGCCCAGATTGTTCTGAAGTTGAGAGATGCTCGGTCGCTTCGGGAACGAAACCACATAATGACCATCTTCGAAGGAGATTTCGCTGTTGAATTGTCGAGTAGCTTCCTCCTCGTCCGCCGACATCTGCGACGCTGCAGGGGGGTCCGATATACCCAGCGCCTCCAAGCTCCACAGCGTCTCAAGAGCTCTGGCAGCCGATGACATCTGCAGAGACTGACGGGCGGACAGGCCGGCGGCGCAGCAGACGATGTGCGTCGCCGTCACCTCACCCTCTATGTGGTGCTGACCGAGGGGAATCGAACCCCCAACGAGCCACCCTAACTTCGATGACTGTGCGGTTATGTCATCCACGACGGGTTGTGGAAGCTCTCTGTGCATTACCTTATGGAGTTGATTCATTCCAATAAGTAAGGCGGGTGGCATGCGTGACCACTCTCCCACATATGTTCTATCTGCGAGCGGACTCTCTCGGTCGAAATTGGAGAGGGCCTGAAGGACGGCCTTGGTAGTCGTATTCGGCGGGTCGAAGTCGAACTTGTACTCGTGGGCGAAGAGCTCGATTGTTGGTCCTCCACGAATATTCATGATGCGGATGTTGTACAACGGAATCCGTTCACTTGCCAGCGTCGAGGCGAAAGCCTGAATGGTGAGATTGCTTACACCAACGGGAGGATCGCGGAGCATGGCTCGGAGTGAAGGCAGCATCACGGTAAGCGTACTTCCGGGATCCATGAACACCCGGATAGGAATCTTGACCCCACCGTTGATCACATAGGCACAAGCAGTTAGCAGCAGTGCGCCGGTGTCCGCGCTTGCCCCGCTCACCGTCTGGACCACCGCGGCGGTCGTCGCGTCACTTCCAGCGGCTGTCTGATCACCATGTCTTGGTGAATCAGGTCCGTGCATTGAAGTATAGTGCTGTCTTGAGCCACACGAGGCACACGGCGCCTTCGGACCGCGGCAGTCGGCGGGGTTCGCATGTTTCGTCCTGAAGCACTTCTCGCAACGCCGCTGAGCCGTGAGGATCTCTCGGCGTTTTGCGATGGAGAAGCTTGCCGTACAGCGGGACGAGTTATGATCAGCCGTTCGGCAAAACAAACATGGTCGCGGCCGGTAACCGGTCCCAGCTGATCCAGACGGTCTCGACGCAGCACCCGCGATGGTGCTCTTGGGTCGGCGCCGCACATCTCGCGCTTGCGCCGGGCGCTCAGGAACCTCGGCTGTAGCCGGCGAAGCCCGCTCATCTAAGTATCGGTTGTCTTCCCAGTCCCGGACACGACCGCGCAAGAAGTCGATCAGGTTGCGGACCTCTTTGGCAGCCCTCGTTGAAACAGATGTGCCACTGTCGTCTGCGTCGGTGGTGCTTTCCTCGTCAGCTGTCTCGATGCAGTCGTCGGCCGTAGACCCCTCTCCGCTGCCACCTCTGGTGAGGGCGAGCAGCTTCTTCTCGAGACGGCGAGAATCTTTGTAGTCTTGGCGCAACCGAATCGGTAGGGCTGCTTCTATCGCCGATCTCAGCGATAGCGCGAAGTCGGTGAGCGGAATCCCATTGGATGCGAGAGTCGCGATGTTCCCCTGCAGGACAGTAAGAAGTTTACGCAGGGCCGGCAAATCGTTATATCGGGGGATTCGGGGAAGATTTCGGAGATCAGATAGGATTTTTCCTTGTCGCTTTCTGTGCGGGCGTAGTTCTCATGCAGTAGGTCGAGAGCAATCTGGTAATTTGCATCCGACAGCTCGAGAGCCTGAACGATGTCCCTAGGCTCGCCGGTCACGTATTTCCGGAGCACCATCAGCTTTTCCGCCGGAGTGGCCTCCGGTCTCTTTCCAACGAAGCATTTGAACTGGGTTATGAAGGCACGGTACCTCAGGCGATCTCCTGCGAATACCTCGGGAGAAATGTCGAGCTCACGAGGCAAGCGCGCGGTTGTCGTCGATACCACTTGCGCGGCCGGCTGTGGCGAACTGTCCGGGACCTGGGTCGCCTCGCGCATTTGACGTGGCGCGCTCATGGTAGAGTTCATCGTGGGCCTGGATCGGACGTGTCGCATGGCTTCCGGGGTTCCGTAGAACGTCGGCATCTCTGCCTGCGCCGCAAGGTCGCCGGTCCCGACCTGGGTCACAGCGCTGATTGCAGCGATTCCCCGCTCGATCTCGATGTGAAATTCTTCCGAAGCGGTCGCCTCGGCGTCGACTGCGTCTTCGCTCGCCAGGTCGGCGATCTTGCCGTCCAACTCGCGGATACGCTCAACGTGCTGAGTCATGAGAATGAGGAGTTCTTCCGGGCGCTGACCCTCGGCGAACGTCGGGTTACCTGAGTGGAGATCTGTGACTGCCTCCAACTCGGCCATCGCCTTGTTTCTGCGGATTGTTCGGGACTGTCGCAAGGTTTTCAGCCTTCTCTTGGTTTCTTCTTCGTTCATGGTCGAGGCGTAGCTGTATCGGACGACAGGAACGTGGTACACTCGGGAAGAGACGTTTCGGTGATAAGCTTGCGATCCTGGGCCACGGCACCATGTAACTGTTTCGGTCGGATCGGTAGCGGACTTATCGAATCTGAGTCTCTTGGATTCGTGTAGGAATTTCACTTTCGTAAGGAGAACATGCGCGGTTCACTCTTTGACCGACACTAACCTATGTTTATTCTGGGATTCGTTCTGCTACGTAGCGCTGGCGCGATATTTAAATTACACGTTATTTCACAAAGATCTTCAATGCTCGCTAATGGTGTTTTTCCGACCATTCATATCATCGACTCATTCTGGACCTGATTTGACCTGAGGTTTCAGAGATGCTGACTTCTTGCGGGAGCTCTCAAGCTCTTGAACAAACGCAATCGTCGCCAGGGCCCAGTTGTCGCCAGTGCCCAGTTGTCGCTGGGGCCCGACTGTCGCTGGGGCCCAGTTGTCGCCGGAGCACACTTGTCGGTGGGGCCCACTTGTCACCGGGGCCCACTTGTCGCCGGGCCCCAGTTGACGCCGGGGCTCACTCGTCGCCGAGGCCCAGTTGACGCGCTTCGCTGATATGCAGCCGTTCAGTCTCTGAGGCTGATCGTTGGGGTCGCCGTTATGGTCATCCCCGGAGTATATTTCAGAGCGTCTAGAAGCGCTCTAAGACTGAATGAACCTGCCCTCTCTAGTCCGATGCTTCTTGATGAAAAGGTCCCCACATTTTGCGAAAGTCTCCGCGTTGTACGACAGCTGGAGTGAACGAACTCAATCGAGTACCCCGTCCTTCGAGCCTTGGACGAGATGCACATGCTTTGAGATATTCCGGAGGGCATGGGCCCAACACATCAGAAGAGAGCAATCATCCCCAAAAACTTGCTTGAAAGCTTCGCGTATTACTGTGTAGGCGTCGGCAATGAGATGTGTAGGCGATGAGTAGGGCTGTAAATTATTCGCGGCGATCCCGGGACTCGCGGAAATTTCCGGCTACTCCCCATAGAGTTTCAATGGAGGCCGCGAATTTGGCGGAAATTTTCCGCGAATAATTTACAGCCCTAGCGATAAGTCAGGAACTTCCCTCTTCAGCGAGGCAAGAATGAATTCGATCATGTCTTTACGCTCGTTGGCGCAGATGGATAAGCTCAGCGGATGGAAGTGCCTATCGGGATCTGTCGTGCTAAAAATCAAAACTGGATAACCCCGCCAGTTGAGCTTGTATAAGGCGTCGACGGCGAGATGACTTGCTTTCGCAGCGTGCTCCAGCAATCGAGGGGTGGATATCGAAAGTCTGAAACAACGCTCGCCGTCATCACTATCATCGTCTTTGAAGTCATAGGCGAAGACGAAGGCTTCGTCAAGAACCGAGGGTCTGACCGATTTGCCGACACACCAAGCTTCAAGGTCGCCTAAGCTGATTGTCGCCGGACCCAAGTGTTCCCTTCTCGCCTTGTTGAAAAGACTATAAACTTGCGTGCGTTTGACTCGCGTTAGTCCCTCATCGTGGAGCTTTTCCACAATTCTCTTCGGCTTCATCCCGAAATCCAGGCATTCCTTGATTCTACGTTTGACTTCCTCACTAAGACCGTGACGAACCGAATCAAAGCAGGTGTGCGGGCTATCCGTGCGATGGAGGTCAACTTTCAGGGAAGTATTGCAAAACAACAGGGAGAGACCGGCTTCGCAAGCCTGCTCCCGTTTTCTCACCCTGTTGCAGCGGTAGTATGTCTTCTTCCCATCGAGAGTTTTCTTTGAGAAACTCACGCTCCATCGTTTTTCTTCTTGGATGAATCGCAATGCTTCTTCGGGGCCGTCGAATTCTTTGGCGAAGCACCACTTTTCCGATTTGTGTCATGACGGTAGTCTAGAAACCTCGGCATCTGCCTCTCCGTCGGATGTGTAAGCGCCGATGACTTCGGTTTCGTATCCACTTTTCGTGGATTCTCAAGACACAGAAGATATTAGCAACATGGTGGCCAAACATAATTAGCGACATCAGGAATGTATCATATCTCGCACATGCCCTGCATGCATTGCATGCGCTAGAAATCCACCAAGACAAATCGTCCACAACAGGTTGCCGTGCAGGTTCCCGTTCGAAAGAATCCACCTCGATTATGCGGGGCCCATCAATGGTCAATACATCCTCCTTATCGTCGATGCATACAGCAAGTGGTTGGAAGCCTTCGTAACGAAGGATAAGACAACAACGACAACGCTCAAGCACTTGAAGGAAAGGATAGCAAGATTTGGAATCCCAGCCGTCATCGTGACGGACAACGATCTGTAGAGGCCGAGTCATGAGCCCGGAACTTTAGGTCTCGATGAACGCATTGCCGTGATAAGCAGCGTCGGCTGCCATCCAGCTGGCAGCGTCTACCACGACCGAATTAGTGTCGTCACTCTAGTGAACTCTACAGATCCGACTTTAGTGTCCGAGCAAATTCCGCAAAACCAATGGCATCAAGAAGATTATGTCTCCTCCCTACAATCCGGCGTCGAATGGACAAGTCGAGTGTTATGTGGGTACCATGGAATCAGCGCTGAAGGAACTATCTCTGGAAGGTCAGTGCCTGAGCTTCGGTTTAGCTCGGTTCCTGTTCCGGCAGCGCATGATTACCAGCTCGCATGCTCGGAAGAGAAATCTGATCGAAACTCGATATTGTCCGCGAACTTCCAGTCGAGCACTCCGGGAAGCTGTCGCAAAAGTTTGCGATTCGAGAACCGGAAAGCGTTCGAGATTAACGCCCGCGCCGTCAGAAGTGGATCACAGGCTCTGTAGTGAAAGCCTGCGGCTCATGGATTCGTGAAGTATCAGTTCCTAATGTATTTGGAAAAGACACTATAATCAGATCCGACGACGTTCGGGGAGGACAACATCTCCGACTCTCGAAGAGGAAGAAATCTTACTCGATACAGCGAACCATCCGCCAATCGAATCAAAGGACAATACGTCACACGAGGAAACAACCGGAGAAGAGGAAAAAAAATCGGCTGCGGAGCCCAGGTCCCGAAATTATCGGGAATTCCCGGCGATCCGGGGAATTCCCGACTGTTTCCGGGAAACCCCGACTATTCCCGGGGAATCCCGCGGCGAAAGACGATAGGCCAAAGAGATTTTTTTTTCACATCAGGGAAAAGCTGGGGGAGGATCATCTAATCCAGGATTATTGAATGTTTATTCTTATCGTTCGCTTATCGTATCTTCTCAGAACTCTTCCGGGAGCTCCGCAACTTTTCCTTCCGCAAAAAGGAGACTAATATCATGAGACAATCGAGGAATTCTGGCGCGAGAGAGTTCCGGCTTTTGTTGCATAGGGCATTCATCGTGCAGAAATCTCTCTCGGGTAGGACAGAGGTCGGCTACACAGGTGAAAGCTTCCGCAAGCACTGGGTCAGTAGATTGCCATGGCCGTGACCAGCCCCGAACAGTTTCATTTCCGAGCGAGGCTGCCGCATGACAGGCAGCGGCTTCTTCCGATGAAACAGCGGCGTCTCGAAGACACCGCTAAATTCTGCTGGTTCAGCCTCTTTTTCGCTCTCGCATTCGATGGTGCCATCTCCGGAGTCGACCTCCCGTTTCAAAACGTCCAGAATCAGACTCAGAAGCTCTTTCTCTTAGCTCCGCGAGCATCCCAGCGAGTCCTCGAAAGCGTACTCTTACCCCGGGTCCTACAGGTATTGCAAGAGCGTCGAGAGAACAGTTCTTCTTTTAAAAATCAGGAGGGCGCGAGCCCCAATTGGGCGAAATGCCATTTGGGGCAATGTCATTTGGGCGCAATGCCATTTGGGCGCAATGCAATTTGGGCGAGATGCTGTTGGGCGAAAACCTATTTGGGCGAATTCCATTTGGGCGAAATGCCATTTGGGCGCCGAATTGGTAGGATCTCTCATCTGAGGAAGCAGATCACTCATGGGAAATCGACGGGTAACAGGACCTGGTGATCGCAAGAATGAAAACACCTTGTGAATTCGCTCCTCGGCGCAGCTTTCGAGAGTTTACTCTTCGCTCATCGTTTTCTCGCTTTCATTGCCATAGGCGACATATGCCACCAACATCGTTGGCATACGGCGGACTGATGGTTAATCTCGTCAACTTTAATTTACACATATTTTGCGAAGACGAGCAGAACTTGTCGAACCACAAGTTACGACTCCATGAAGAAGTTGTGCGCGATGCCGCGCAGATACTCCACGTGAGTCCTGTTCGAAACGTCCCGCACGATCTCTAAAATCCTCCTGTCGGCCTCCACATACTTATTGCGCTTCTTAGAACTTGGAGCACCTCCGAGGAATTGTTCGAGCTGGAAGTCTCGATTTTTCTGTATCCTCCTCAAGCCGTCGATGAACTTCCACAGCGTCGGGTGGCTGACCCCGAACTCGAGCTGCATGCGTCGATGAGCGGC